TGGATGGATGGATGGATGGATGGATGGATGGATGGATGGATGGATGGATGGATGGATGGATGGATGGATGGGTGGATGGGTGGATGGATGGAAGGACAGACACATCTATTTGCCACAAAGGTCTCATTAAAATTTGTTGAAGCATTTAAAATTATGGTGGTGTCATATTGCCAAATTAAATCCAGATTTTAAATTAAAAGTATTGAGTATTTCTCTTGACAAGCAACACTTAACCTAGAGAAATACATATGATTTATACATATCCCTCCCCTCAGTGGTATGCAGTGTGCTAGGGAAGCCAAATGGAATAAGATGGTTTTTGTTCATTTGGTAAATTCTGAAGGAAGAAAAATGCACAGGGAGGACAAAGGAAATGGTATGTGCAAAAGCTAATGGGTATTAGTATTGTACTTGGGGAAGTGATAAGCCAAAGAAATAGCACAGTAAAAGGAAAATCATTTTGCCACTTATTAATTCTGTAACTTTTGGTAATTTACTTAATTCTCCTCATACCTTAACAGTGAGATATGTTCTGTTTACCTCAGAATTTGTGAGGAGCGCTGGAGATAAAGCATGGGCAAGCAGTTTGAAAACAATCAAGTTGCTGCATATTTATAAGTGATACCTAATACATATTAATAATAAAGATAGTGTAAAACAAGACTATCTCTTCTCCCAATTCATTCTCATTTCTTACTAGCTAGCCACACCCTTAAAACTGTTATCTTTCCTCTAAGAAAATGACTGAGAACCCTGTGAATTTGTGGGAGATGATGGACAGCATTGCAGGGGTACAGCAGGTACTATTGGGGTGAATATATAGATGGCCCTTTGCACTTCACTTCTGCAGGGTTCCTCCCAGTGGGTGACACCAAACACTAAATATGTATGAAGTTTTAGATATATATTTTAATCTAGGAGCCCTCAAACTATTGGGTGAAACATAATATATATGGAACCAACTTTTCTAAATTGGCAGTAGGGGTCGGGGGAGGGCTGACTGGGATCCCAAGGCATCATAGCTGCCCCCCAAATCATTCTCCATTAACCAGACTCTAACTCCCTGCACTGTGTCTGTCTTATAACCAGGAGGACTCTGGGGTCTAGAGGAAGAGAACTTCAATTGGCCTTCACACATCCAGCTAAAGCAGACATTATTCTGAGAATATTTTAGAAGGTGCACTGAAGTTGTTGCTTTATAAAAGTGAAAAAAAAGTATTGACATTTCTAAGCCCAGAACTATTTTTTAACAAGCTAGAAAATACTGAGAAACAGGTAGTAGTGTTTTCTCAAGAGAATGCCCTGTAGTTAGAATGTATGGTATTTTTTCCCTGTGTGTATTTGGGTAAAATATGTGCACTAAAATTTCAGGCCAAATCCTAATGCAGAAATAATCCAAAATATGGCAGATTTATAAGCAAGGCAGTTTTTATTTATTTGCTAATGTGGATTCCCTTAAGAGCTCAAATGTTCTACATGTTACTTATGGCTTCTCCTTGAAAAGACTTACCTCCAAGGTCTCAGCAGCATAAAACTCCAGGCTGTATAGTTGTCTGAGTCAAGCATCAGCCATAATTCTCCTTTGTCACAGACTGAGGGTGGTTTGGAATCTACTAACACACTACCTGTTTAGTAATTAATAATTCATAATTAAACTGGCAGTATGAATTAATCAGTATAACTGTAGGCTTTGAGGCCTCCTCTCTCCATTATCCTCCCTTTTATTTTAAGAATCTGAAAGAAAAATGAGAAGAAAAGTTAAAATATCAGAAATCCTCCATTAAAGGTTATACCTCCATTAATAGTTGTCAAAAAAATCTATTTGGATTTTTCTTTCAAAGACTTATTTATGTGTATGGGATTCCATCCTTTACTCTCAAAAACTTCACTCTCTGAGTAAACACAGGTCTCCAGCAGCTAGCATAAACAGTTAAGACCATGTGGTGTGCTCAGTTCCTCTGCCTGTCCCAGGGAGATTTGGCACAAATACAGCAGCAAGGATGGGTCATTCTGCTCTCAAAATTTAGAGAATGGTTAGGAAAACCACAGAAGAGGTTGACCTTCAAGGACCCTTGAAGATGAGTTGTGTCTTTTCAGGTAGGAAATGAGGAGTTGTGTCTTTTCAAGTAGGAGAAAAACAAAGCTGAGGAAGTGCTTATGCTTTTGTTGTGTTCCAGGGAAAGGAGGCCCCAGGGTATGCAAGTAACCTGTCAGTAGCACATGTGCAGGGAGACCAGGCTGGCCAGTGAATTTGGGGCCTAGACTGCAGAGGGCTGAGGTCACACAGAAGAGGTTGTGAATTAAACTTGGTGGGTTGTGGTGAATTGAACTTGTAAGAGGGGAATCATTTAATTTGAATGACTAGACCATTCTGGTCACATGGAAAAAGGTCAGATGGACAGATCCCACACTTCAAGAAACCAAGTGGGAGGTTCCAAGAAAGAGGCTGTTGTCATTGTCTGTGTGAACACTCATAGAAACTCAACTAAGTTGATGGCAATGAGAAGAGCTGAGAAGGAATATAGACATTTGCCACTGCTGAGTTTGGGGTGGAATTGAGAATCAGAGTCTGCAATAGGGCATGATCAAGACCATAGAGCCTGTCGACCTCTGCTTGACAAGTGGTCAATGTTCTTGACCCATGCAGGACTATAATTATTGTGTAGGATGCTATTGTTTCTGTTACCATTCTCCTCATCATCTTAGTATTTAATATTCATTGAATGTCTTCTTTATATCAGACCCTGATAAGTCCTTCATTTATACATCCTAACACAAGTCATCTGTGTTATACAGGTGAGGGGAAAAAAGTGTGATGAGGTAAAAGTAGTTTATGTCACCCAAGATCTTTCAATAAATAAGGAGCTGAGCTCCAGAACACTGGTCCTAACCACAGGATATGGTGCTATTAAAAATGCATTCCAGGCTCTCCCTGGTGGTGTGGCAGATTAAAGCATAGCACTAAGAAGCTAAAGCCACTTCAGCATGAGTTCAATCCCACTTTGGAAGGTAACCACAAGGCATGGTAGACCTCTCCTGACCTGCCCCCTGCTCCCCTCAGCAGTATACTTCGTATATATGCCTGTTTTGCTCCCCACTCTGTCTCTGGTGAAGCCTCTCACCACCCCCCTGCACCTCTGGCCTATATCCCAGTTCTGTATGCATAACTAAATAAATCTTTTAAAAAAATGTATTTCATGATACAATAATAGTGTAATTATGGAAGCAGAGATATTATATTGTTGGCATTTTTAGGAGTGGAACCTGCATTTACCAGGGGGTTCTCATCTACCAAATGGATCCCCATTTGTAAATCTTTTTTTAGTAATTTTTGTTCTTCAGGACTTTTTTTTAATTCCGCAAAGTTGTAAAGAAGTATTGTTGGCAGGGTTTAAGAAAGGAAGTAATTCTGTTTGGAGTATCAGACAATTTCACTGAACTTTAAAGTATATGTTTTAAGAAACGAGCAGGAATTTTTAGGTAACATGGAAGAAAAGAGTTCTGAAAGGTCCACTAATTTTGAAAGGATCTGGAATGCTCTGGAAATGGCATCTGTGTTTTGTGAGCAACTTATTGGATTGTCTCAACTGGGAACAATCTCATAGTTATCTGTCTAAGCTCCTTTCCCAGAAAGGAATACTCTTGTGGCTATGTGATATGGACACTTAAAAATTTTTGTATTTTCCCTTTGCTTCTTTGCCTTTTCATCACCAAGCAGTGATGTTTTTCTCCCTAGTTCTCAGCTTAGCCTCCTGCTGCAAAAAGATATTGTACAACATAGAGCTGCTTCTACTATGTGCATGCTGTGACCATGGTATTAATGGCTGCAACCTGTGCAAATCTAGGAACCTGCAAATTATTTTTGAGAATTATATTCATCATAAAAGATTGCTATGTGACTATCTAGAGGTTAACATTTCTTTTTGACTATAAAGAATCATTCTCATGTGTTTCTGCCCCCTCTTTCTTTGCAGTTCCTCCACAGATCATGAATATCTCTTCAGATGTCACAGTGAATGAGGGAAGCAGTGTGACTCTTCTGTGTCTTGCTATTGGCAGACCCGAGCCAACAGTGACCTGGAGACATCTCTCAGTCAAGGGTAAGTTGTTTACTTGTAGGAAAGGTTCTGATTCAGTCCATTCAAGACTTGATTCTGAGCTGTAACAGAACTTAAGCAATCAGGCAACAGTGTTTTGCTGTAACACAGTAATATATGGGTTATAAACATCAGTCCCCAAAGTGACAAAGGAGGGATTTATAGAGTAAGTTTATGTATTATTTTCTTAGTCGTTTTTATGACTTAAAAAGATTTTTATTTTGCCAATAGTGAGGGGAAAAGAGAGGTCCCATAAGAATAACTTCCAAGAAGTACTAATTTCTCAAGGTGCAGATACTTGGGTTACATAATATCTTGTCTTTCCATGAAGCAGTTCATGAATGCTAAAATAACCATTGAAAACTTTGTTTTTATTATATATCCAGGAGCAAAAAAAAAAAAAAAAAAAGAATCCCTTGCTCAGTAGATTCAGGTTAGTCACCTAAAGTCACATCTGTGTTCTGTTCGGTACATAAATAGTCTACCTTGAGTGGAAAAGGGAAAGTGTACCTGATCGTGTCTGTGCTGGACACTCAGTGGTTGCAATTAAAATATTAGTTAAGATCATTTCCATCTTAATAGGAAAATATCCAAACAGGGAGTGGGGTTTGTCCTTTTGAAACTGAAACTTTCTCCAAGTTGAACTAAAACGATGGGCACAGAGTCATTTGATTTATTTTTAGTGTTACAATAAACTGATTAATTCTAGAAAATATACAAGAAACAAGAGCTCCCTCAGGCATTAGAAAATCTAAACATGAAACCCAGTGAATAGGGAAATGTGTGCAGTATGCTTATGTGTGATGTAAATATAGTGTAGATCGAGAGGAAAACTTGAGAATAAATCTCAGTAACCTTGAGATAGAAAAAGTTTTTCAAGGACACCAAAAGTTCTAGCCATAAAATGGAAAATAATGATAGTTTTGCTTTGCAGTTTTTTCGTAGCATGGTCATAATAATGTACCATGAATTGGTGGCGTAAGCAACAGAAGGCTACTTTCTCAGTCTTGGAGACCAGATGTCCATGATCAGGATATGGACAGAGAGGGTTACTTCTTAGAGCTGTGAGGGAGAATCTGGTCCATGCCTCTCCCTGCTGTGTTTTGTTAGAAGCTTGGTCTTTGTTGGTTTGTAGATGAATCACAGTGCTCTCTCCCTTTATTTTCACATGACCTTATCCCTGTGTGCATCGCTCTGTTAGATTTGCCCTGTTTACAAGTCACCAATTATATTCGATTAGAGTCCAAACTAATGACCTCATCTTAATTTGATTATGTCTCCAAAGATCCTGTTTCAAAATAAGGTCACATTCTGAAGCACCAGTGGGGAGAGGGTGGTAGGACTTCAAAGTATATTGAGAGGTGGGGGGGAGGGGGATGCAATTCAGACTATCCTAGTATTCATCAAAATTAAAAACGCCATTACAATTGTAACTTTTATTTAATCTAATGAAAAGACAAACCACAAACTAAAGAAAATATTTGCCATGTATAAATTTCACTACATATATACATGCAAAGAATTTACATCTGAAGATATATGAATGATTCACACAATTCTAATAATCCATTTGAAAATGAACCAAAATATTGAGAAAACAACCCATAAAAGCAGAAAACTGAATGGAAGAGGAGCTCCATAAGATATGACCAACATTTTGTCATAGGGATGAAAATTAAATTGCAATGAGTGTTTCTCTACTACACATGTGGCCCAAACACACACATATGTAAAAGCCCTGACATTATCAAGTGTTGGTGAGAATATACAGCAACTGACATGCTTAGACATTAAATCTGGGGTTATAACTTGGTATAAGCACCATTAAAAACAGTTGAGCAGGGCTCTCCCTGGTGGTGCAGCGGGTTAAAGCACAGCACTGAGAAGCTGAAGCCACTTCCGCATGAGTTCGATTTCCGCCTGCCCCGGAGGTGACCACATGGCGTGGCAGACCTCTCCTGACCTGCCCGCTGCTCCCCTCAGCAGTGTACTTCGTCGATCTGCCTGTTCTGCTCCCCACTCTGTCTCTGGTGAAGCCTCTCACTGCCCCTGAGCCTCTGGCCTGTACCCCAGTTCTGTATGTACAAATAAATAAATCTTAAAAAAAAAAAAAAGTTGGGCAGTTTGTTAGGCAGTTCCATTCCTGGGTATTGACTAAAGATAAATGAAAAATGTATACTCACAGATATACAATGAACACATATGTTCCTAGTTATTTAACTTTTAATAGCTTCAAACTAGAAATAATCCCAAATAACCATCAGCAGGTAAATAGATAATTGTGGTATATTCAAGCAAATGACAACTTCTCAGCATCAAAAGGAGGTAAGCTGTTGACATATGAACTAAATGGATGATTGAAAAACTATGCTGAGTTAAAGAAGCCAGTTGCAAAATTGCTTGGTTCATTTTGAGGTGGGTTATTGGAATTGGTGTTAAAGTTAGTCAAAACTAACCAAGCCACTCTAAAAATAGATGTATTTTTGTGTGTAAATTAATCTCAATAAAATTTGAAAACAAAATGGAGATGCAGAAAGTAATGACCTGAAATTTTCCCTCTAATTTAGCACATCAATTATGTGAATAGCATTTAGCAAATGAGAGTCTGAGATTGTTACTAGAAGCATTATTTAAGTTTTCACTGTCTCATTTCCTCAGTGTAAATTGAGACTACATATGCCTTGTTCTAACAAAAGATAATGCCAATATATTCACTGGAAATTCTTTGTAGAAAGACCTCAGCTAGCTATCGAAATGCAAAATGTTAGTGTGATGTAGTGTAATGGTGTGGTATGGGGTTACATACAACTTCAAGGGTGTGTTCCTATTCCATAAAATCATATATTTACTGTAAACCAGTGTTACTTCAATTTAAAAAATATTATACATTATGGGAATCATAATGCTCATCTTTAATGTAAATACCGCTACCCAAAACTATAGCATACATTCCCAAAGACAAAAACCTCAAAACCCCATGGGGATTTTTCTTGAAATCAGGGAGAATTTTGGATTTACATTATATGCAAAAATGTGTCTGGCCACCAGACCAATTTCCATGTATTTGGTAAAGTCAGATGTCTTTATAAACGCTTAAAATCCCAAAATGCATTTATTTGGCCTTAAATATATACTTCTCCGAGCCTGGAAATTTTAAAAGGCATTTTGACTTTGTGTAAGTGTTTTGAAGCAATTCTTTATAATAGTACCTTGGTAAGATTTCTCTCTAAAATAACAGAGATCCATCCACATTCCCAACCTTTTGTATAATGTAATAGTTGCAATTCAACCTCAAAAGCCCATAAAATCCTAAACTTAAATTATCCCTTTCCCCTTTAAATCTTCCAGGCTATGCTCTGCTCTCAAGTTGCCTTTTGTTTTTTCCTAGTCCTGGCTTTCCCTTTGCTGTCTTTCATGTCCCACCCCCCCCCACCCCCTTGTCCTCTCTCTCCTTCCCCCCTCTGCCCTCCCAGTGACATTTAAACATTTAAACTCAAAGCATTATTTCCCAAGCTTTAAAAGCATTAGAACATAGAGAGATTGCAAGTTTAGAATTTGCATCTGTAGGGTAACTACCTATGTTTATTTTAGAAGGATATTCCTTCATACTTGGAGTTAAGGAAGCTTGGGTGGTTGTGTTAAAGGTTTAGAACTGCCAATAAAAAATCAACATCAAATAGCATTTATAGAACAATTTACCAGTTAGTTCAGCATGCAAGAATGAAAAATAAGAGTTACAATGACATTTTCTTTCAAACTCCAGTAGGATTACTTTGGAGAATTTAGCAGAAGGGACATCTGTATTCCCAAAATGCTACCTCAGTATTTGAAATCAACCATTTAAATTTGGGAACTCATAGAATGTGAATGAATAAACAAGCTTTTTATTAAGGATTAAGAATATTGTTAACACTTGTGCCACAAACTGATAGACCAAGTGCATGCAACACTCCCTAGAAATGTATCAAAATGAGAAAATGATGTGTCGATAAGTCCATTATTGCACTAGGGAAAATAATGGCAAGCTTTTGTAGATGAGAAACTACAAGGACTCTCTGAATTAAAAAAAATCACATAGGGGCCCTCCCTGGTGGTGCAGTGAGTTAAAGCACTGCACTAAGAAGCGTAAGCCACTTCCTTATGAGTTTGATCCCTGCCTACCCCGGAGGAGATCCACATCGGTGCTGCAGACCTCTCCTGACCCCTCAGCTGCTCCCCTCAGCAGTGTACTTCGTCGATCTGCCTGTTCTGCTCCCCACTCTGTCCCTGGTGAATCCTCTCACCCTCCGCATCTCTGGCCTGTACCCCAATTCTGTATGAATGAATAAAAAACTCTTTTTAAAAAAATCACATAGATGTAATGAAGAGGGAAAATGCAGTCCATAATACAGAGAAATATGATCTATACTGAAATAACAGATCATTAAAAATGGGAGATTTTACTTTATTTATTTTTATATTTTTAAAGATTTATTTATGCATACAAGAACTGGGGCCGGAAGTGCAGGGGATGAAAGGATTCAAGAGTGACAGAGTGGGAACAAAACAGGCAGATGTACTGAAATACATCACAGAGGGAGCAGCAGACAGGTCAGGAGAGGTCTGCTGCACCATGTGGGTTACTTTTCTGGCTGGGAATCGAAATCATGCTACAGTGGCTTCAGATAGCATCACAGTGCTGTGCTTTAATCCATTGCACCAGCAAGGAGAGCCAAAATGGGAAGTTTCTATATCATGGGGCACTAAACAGTTTTTAAAATTGATTGAGGTAGAGGTGAGAAAAGGAAAGCCTGAGTGGCATCTGTCAACTTCATGGTGTAAATGCTGTCACTATTGCCACTGCCCTGGGATCTCCTTGAAAGAACTTTGATGTTTTTTTTTCTTTTAAAAACAAACAAAATTCCAAAACAAACCCCTCTTTTGAAAGCAAAGTAAAAGTTAAGAATTATGGAGTTTCTAGAAGAGACCCGGACTCCCTAATGTCTCTCTGTAGACTGGATGTG